GGCCCGCGCTCAGGTCACGAGTCCTACCTGTGGAACTGTCCCCACCGTGGCTGGCTGTCCCACAACTGTGGACACCATGAGGATGCAGGAGTCATCTGCTCAGGTGACAGTACACTTGTTCTCTCTCTTTGCTCTGTATTTTTCCTAGAGCTTGGGTCCTCTTCCGCATTACTCTCTCACTCTGGGTCTTCTGGGCGATGGGTGTTGTGTCACCTGCAGGGGCAAATATCTGATGTCTCTTAACTCGAGTGCATTGCGGGGCTTCTTTCATTTGTCCCGGTGCCAGAGAAGGAGATTTAACCTAATCTACAGGTGTAAGAACAAACTGCCCTTCCACTGCCTCTCAGGCAGTTTTTCCAAGGGAGGAAAGGGAATGGCCTCAACCTTTGTCTGGCTTATCTTCCCAGTCACTTGTTCCAGCATGTCTGAGCCCTGAGACTCAATCCTGTTTTCATCTCTTCCTTGCAGATGTAGAAACTGTCTCTACAACAATAGGTGAGTCTGCCTTTTGTTCATTTTGGGCGGGGGAGGATCATACTCAAGTTGTTGTGCTTGTGCGACAGGTGGCAGAACCACTGAGCTAAATTTCTGGCCCTGCCTTTTCTTCTTAGGAGAATAGATTTCAAGGATTTTGTTTATTATAGTATCTCTAAAGGTAAGGAAGGAAGAAGCGAGACAGATTAATAAACCAACTGTTTCCATGTGGACATAGCGGCTCACACACATCTCGAATCCCACCACTCAGGGGGCTGAAGCAGGGGAATTGCTATGAGTTCAAGGCAGGCTTGGGCTACACGGTGGGTTCAAGATCAGCCTGAAGTGCATAGTAAGACTCTGTCTCAAAAAGCAAGTACATTGATTAATTAATTGCCTAACAAGTATTCATGCTTTTCCACATAATTTCATAGTACAAAGCTTTCCATTGCTCTTAAAAAGTGACATGGCTACTTCTTTGTGTCATTAAAAATTCCTTCACATCATTTTCAGTGCCTATATTGAATTCTGTTATGCAGCTATGCCAAAATTTAGGCTTCATTTTCAGCCCTTTTATTTTTTATATGTGAGACAGGGTCTCATTAAGATGCTAAGTTTCCTGGACTGGGTTCAAACTTGTGATCCTCTGCCTCAGCCTTCCAGAGTGCTGGAAGGTGTGTGCCACCATGCCCAGTCTGTTACTGCATCTTCATTACCTAGCATCGTGCCTACCAATCAAGAAATACTTGTTGAAAGAATGCATACATAATTACTAGGTATTTTGATGAACATTCTGGAAACACATACACACAGTAGAACATGTCTTATATCTTCTAACATTAATTTTCACTGCAGGGAATATAATAAAGATTATTTCTGCTGCCTTAAAGTTAGTATTCGCATGGCATTGAAATTGTTTCTATACTGTAAGGAGTAACAACTGCATAGCTTTCCACAGTATGCTTATATCATGATCTAGCTAAACACTTCCTAATTGTAGGACAAAAGAATTAAGTTATATAATTAAGCACCCAGTTATATAATTAAGTCACGTAATAAGGTATGAACAATGCAACCATGAAGATTCTTACTCTAAAGATGATTGCCTGTCACGAAATACTTGAAGATAATGGGGGCGTCCCCCTCTCTCTCCTTTCTAGTGCCTTCTGTGAATTGCGGTGGCTTCTTATACAATGCCAGTGGGACATTCTCCAGCCCATCCTACCCTGGATACTACCCCAACAATGCCCTGTGCGTGTGGCAAATAGAAGTGCGCTCCAATTATAGCATAAACCTGGAATTCACCAACCTACAGTAAGTCTCACCAGATCGCCCCGTGAAGAGGGAGCCTTCTGTGGCACATCTGGTGGTGTAGCCAGGATGCTTTTCATGCCTGTGTACTACGCACAAGCAATGGCGATGCTTTGATTCCTGCTGGGAAATTGCAGGAAAGCCCTTTGATCTACTGGAGGGAGAGCTAGTAGATACATATGTAACCAGCAACATCACTTGTAAATATCCAAATTATCTATACAATGGAGGAACACTAGGAACTGCAATGTTGACTTGGATATATATTTTCTGTACAGGTTGGAGGGGGATGTTTCTTGTCTAGATTACATTGAAATCTTCGATGGATCACTGAATAACAGTAATTTGCTAGGAAGGATCTGTAACAGCAGCAGGCAAATATTCACATCTTCTAGCAACCGAATGACTGTTCGATTCCGAAGTGATGTCAGTTTCCAAAACACTGGCTTTTTTGCTCGGTATAACTCCTTTCCAAGAGGTATGTGTAAAGCAGGCCTGACCAACGAGGCTTGGTGGACTTAACCAGCCTCTCATGAATGCATTGTGGTTGTCCTGGGGAAATCAGAGAGGGGCTTTGGTGACACTCTGACCATTCTCCCTATTTCACAGCTGACTTATGTGAACCTCAAGAGAGATAGGTCTGTGGCCAAAGAAGTCAAATATACAGAAAAAGGGACGTATCTGGCCTTGGGTCTAGTAATCTCCTGGGGACCAAATCCCTGGGGACTTGGGGACTCTTATTGCTAATGCAGCATTCCCCATCTGGAGGACAGGGGTCTGAGCTCTCTGATGTCTGGAGCCCTTTCCAGCTTTACATGGGTCCAGTGTCTCTGCTCTAATGGTTAGACGCTTCTGTTCAGAAACTCTGGCATGGGGAAAGGCCCGTGGAGTATTGGGCCTTTGAGATAAGCTGTGGGACATGGTCATTATCTTCTGCTGCATGTGTCTTTCAGATGCCAGATTGAGATTGGTCAATGGAAGCTCCCACTGCGCCGGGCGTGTGGAGATTTACCATGGCGGCAGGTGGGGGACTGTTTGTGATGACTCCTGGGGCATAAGTGATGCACAGGTGGTCTGCAGACAACTGGGCTGTGGAGGTGCACTTCAAGCCACAACAAATGCCTACTTTGGCCCTGGCTCTGGCCCTATCACCCTGGATGATGTGAACTGCTTAGGGACAGAATCCACTCTCTGGCAGTGCCAGAGCCGAGACTGGTTCTCCCATAACTGTGGCCACTATGAAGATGCTGGTGTCGTCTGCATAGGTATGGAAGATGTCATGAAAGTCCCGTTTCCCATGTAACCCACTATAAAGTGAAAGTTTGAGGCCAGCGTCTGCTGGTGTCTGTGGCTCAGACCTAGGGTGGAAATGGTAGAAACTTTTCAGCTGGTGCCCTTGGCCTTGCACTTCAGAAGACCATACAGGGGCCACTTTATCTTTGACCAGTTTTGGGGTCCTGAAGGTGTCACACTGGCTATCTGACCTTTAGCAATGATTCAGCTTCTCTAAGCTTCACTTTCTTCATTCATTAACGGGCACTATCCTGATAGCACTTGCCCCCGATGGCAATTGGGATGATCTCAGAACAACTCTGGGCAAGTAAAAAAAGATGGTGGTGGTGACCTCAGCTGTGATGCTGATGCCCCTCCAATAATTATGGGGCTGTGAAAGTGGCTGGGAAGTCCACTTAAGCCTCATCCCAATCACAATAACTCAATGACCACAGGATACCCACCATTAGGGTCAGATTGTGAGTCACTGGAATTGCCCCTGCTTTGTGCTGACTACTCCCCCAGTCAATTTTGTAACCTATGTACTTCTTCTGTCTAATTTTAGGAAACTACCCATCAACAAGTAAGTATCTGTGATTTGCACCTTACTTTCTGGGTCTCCATGTCTCGGCTGCTGCAGTCTAGGCTTTGTGGGATATGTTGGTCGTCTCCCAGGGTTTGGCTGTCACGTCTTCCTGGCAGCTGTGTCTCCAGCAGTGGAAGTCTCAACCCCGGTAGGCCTCAGGCCGCTTTGCCTCTGTACTTGGTGGCTTGGCTGATCAGGATTCAGATCTCTAGTTAGTCCCCAGGAGAGGCCTGCCACATGTATGACTTACCTGTTCCTTCCCTGACACCACACCCTGTCCAGGGGAGGTCAAACAGAGCCTGCTTCACCGTGGAGTATGTGGTGTAACAGGCAACAGTCCCTCCTCATTCTGCTCCTCAGGCCAGAATGCTACTCTCAGAGCACTCCTGGCTCCTTGGTTGCTTCCTCTCTGTCATCACCACCGTGGATGCCTCTCACTCCTGGCTTCCTGCAGCAGCAATTTCAGGCCCATCCCCTCCCACCACTCTCCACAAAGCAGCCAGGGGGTGTCTTTGTAAAGTGTGGGTGTCACTCCTAGCCTAATTGTTAGTTCCAGCCTCAGCCTTCAGGGCTTTGAGGCCTCAGGGCCTTCCACTATTCAATCCCTTGGTCTGTGGTCTCCTTGCCATCCACACAGAAGTCCTCAGGTCTCTCATGCTGGGCCCCTTTGCATGTGCTGTTCCTGCTGCCTGGAATACCTTCCTCCCTCTGCCTGTCCCCCAGTTTCCTGCCCTGTATTCCTGAAGTCTGAATCAGGAGCCAAACCACTGGCTCCCATCCCTGGGCTTTCCTCTATCTTATTTAAGTTTCAAAACACATCATCTTCTCCTCCACACTGTGAGAATCTTGAGTCAACCACCACCCCCTCCACACACTGGAAACATAGCACTCAACAACTGCACTGATAATACCAAAAAGACTCATCATGATTTTTCTCTTTGTCAACAGCTCCTTTCCTTACCACCAGCCGTCCAAAAAGTAAGTTCTGAGCTCCCTGACAAACCTGTGTCAGAGATGCTTGAATACTCCCCCTTCCCTCCTCTTTAGTGATGAGGACACTGTGGAGGGCTGATGGGAATGGCTAGGGGAAAGCTTATCTAAGTACAGCCACCCCAGGAGGGTGTCTCCCCTGACCCTTGGTGGGTGGTCCCAGTTCCGGGCACCTCTTGTTGTGTCCCTGCCTTGGAGATTGTGTAAAAATGTTCCCAGATTACTGTGCAGTCACCAGCATTTCCATTTTGTCCTTATAGCAAACTATTCCTGTGGAGGCTTCCTGTCCCAATCATCAGGGTACTTCTCAAGCCCATTCTACCCTGGGAACTATCCAAACAATGCCCGATGTGTGTGGGACATTGAGGTCCCAAACAACTACCTGGTCACCATCATCTTCACAGATGTCCAGTGAGTATGTGGATGCAAAGCAGAATGCATCAGGAACCCCACAGAGATTTTTGAAAGAGAAGGCAGGGTACTTAGAAATGCAAGGGCGATGTTTGTCTAGGTGGTATTTTAAATTATGGGGTTTAATTTTTAACTCAGCCTCGCAATAGTTTGTGGAGAGTGGCAGTAGATTGGGGATACAGTCCTGGAGTGGACAGGGGCTCTGATTTGAAGTTCCAGATCTTCCACCAATTTGCTGTAGGACCACGGGAAGTCATGCATCTTTCCTGAGCCTCAGTCAAAAGAAGGGAATGAAATATCTGCTCTCCTCACCTCACTGACTATTGAGAAGACCAGGAGTATGTCAAAATACTTGGAAGATGTTACCCAGTGGGAGGGAGGGAACGTTGTTAGGAGCAATGTTGGTCTGAGGGGCAGTAATGCGAACCGTCTTATGAACCACCCCCATTTTGCTGAGCTCTTTCCCTACCACTCCTTCCTTTCTCTCATGAGTTCCTGGGGTTTGGCAGATGGAGGATATTCCTGCTCCTTCAGACATTAGGCTACCTATTCCTCCCCCAGCTAGGAGCGGAAATCAGTGTTTTAAGCTGAGGACATCGTCAAAAGGGCGACAATACATGATCTATCCAAGGAGCGGGGTGGCAAGCTGAGAGTGAAGAGGCACCAGAGTTTTCTGGAATCTTCTGCCAGGGGCACCACACTTTCTTCTTTAACAACTATTACTCAACAAAACACTTACCTCGCTCGATTTCTGTTTGCAGAAATCTTGGAAGTCTCTACCTTGATAATTCAGTTGGGCTTTTGCAAGAGATATGTGATTCAGATCTCCTTGTCACTGTGATACAGTGGCTGCAGCTAAAGCTTCTGATTCCTAGGGGACAAAGCTGTCCCCGGCTACTCTTTGGCCAGCATATCGATAACAGTGACCACCACCACTCTTGACATTATATAAAGCACTTCTCCCTATGCTATTTATTGGAGCCTCACCTCTGCTCTCTTCAGTATACACGGGCAGGATTATTTCACCATTGTAAACGGGAGACTTGAACATCAGAAGGTTATTTGACTTGCCTGATATTTATTTCTTCAGTGATTTATTTATATCACTTTGAACTCATGGATGAATGTGTCACTGTGTAGGAGAACCAGACTCTTTGACGAAAGAAAAATGGTCTAAGTCGAATGTGCACCCTTTCTTTGACAATTTAAAGAGTTTTTAGGAGGGGGCTATAGATTTTGTATGTGTGATCCCAGAAGGCTGGATGAGGACCTAGGCATGGCAAACATGGGAAAACAAATCCCACTTGATTTGAGAAAAGCTATTCTTTTTTTTCAGTGATGAACTTGGTCAGAGTTTGTACTGCAAGGGTCTGACCTCCACCCTGAGATCTGTCCTCCTGTATCAAATGCTGGACAGAAGGGAACAAAAACTGTCTGTTCTGTCTCTGCAGGCTTGAACGTGGTTGCAGCTTTGATTATATTGAGGTTTTTGATGGACCCCACCATAGTTCCCCTCTCATTGCTAAGATCTGTGATGGGTACAGCGGCTCCTTCATCTCAACATCAAACTTCATGTCGGTCCGCTTCATCAGTGATGTCAGTATCACACGGAGAGGGTTCCAGGCTGAGTACTACTCCACTTTTACTAATGACAGCACACGTAAGTTTCCTGTGAGAATGCTTGGTTCAGAGTGGGGACATCACTGAGAGCCTTCTGCTGCTTAATTGTCCTGTAGTTTTGAAATATAAAATGATCAGCCCTGTCGGAGCCCCAGGGCTTGATTTCCTGCCTAGCCAGGCCTTGGACACTGGGTCTTGGGAATCCAGCTGCTGGATACGAGGTCAAGGGCCAGCACTGGATGATTGGCAGTGTGTCAGTCTTATTGTAGTCAGTGAAGAGGAAGTAGAACGTGCAAGGTCAGGCTTTTAGCAGATAGTAAGAAATCAGTGCCAAAGGCAGAGGCAACCACCTGACTTGAATACAGGACCCTGGCCAAGGCCTGAGACCTAACATGGTAGACTTCCTTCTGAAGATGCATGGAGCTAGTCACAGCCACTTCCAGCAGAGGCCATGTGGCTCCAGTCTGAGGTGTTTTATGGACTGATGTATACACTGATCAAGGGCTGGGCAAGATGCTGCCTGTCCAAGGCCTTTTAAGCAGTCAGGACTTGAAGCACTGACTCTCCCCATAGCTACTTGATCTTACCTCATAGCATCACCAAAATTTGACTGCAGAGCTACTTTACTTGTAAATAAATAGTAATGGGGCAAAACATTTCACTTATTAAAACTCTTGCCTCCTCTTGTCCATCAGGGACACCCTAAGTCCATATGCCTTCTTTGGGCTTTCAGCAGGATGGGGCTGGTTGAGTTGAAGAGCACTCAGAATTGCAATGAGATATATTCTATCCATGCACCCTAAAGGCTAACCATGTACACCAACTGTGTTCATCTGTGCCTTCTAGATGGAAAGAGCATATAATAGGACTTGTGGGGCTTGGGGACACTGACTAAGTGTATTATCTGCCCTGTCTATCAGATCTATTTTGTCTGCCAAATCACATGCAAGCCAGTGTGAGCAGGGCCTACCTCCAATCCTTGGGCTTTTCTGCCAGTGACCTTGTCATTGCTAACTGGAACGGGAGCTACCAGTGTCAGTCCCAGATAACGCGGAGTCATGTGATATTCACAATTCCCTACTCAGGCTGTGGCACCATCAGGCAGGTAAGCCTGGAACTGTTCACTCTACTTCCATTGAGCATGCTTTCCTACAGTGATGTATACCATGCATCTTGAACATGCGGGATCCTAATGATGTTATAATTTTGAAATTAGAACAGTCAGAGCAAGGCAAGATAGAAATCTTTGGGACTATGATACAGCTGTAGCTACTTCCAAATAGGAGGAAGTAGGAGGATGGAAGGCAACGTCTCAGTGGGAAGTTTCTCCAGCTGTGTCTTGCAGAGAGGGTACCTGGTAGGCTGCCACTCGCACCAGCAATAACAAGAGTAGCTCCAGGTCATTTCTGAACTTTATAGGGACTGAAACTTGTGTAGTGTGGGGTTGAGATGAGTGAGAATGGCAGAGGCCTCATTAAACCAAAGAGTACGTGTATGTCTTACTTTCATGAGCTTAACAGAGGTGCACGGCTATGCAAACACATTGCTGAGCCCCGGAGAAAGCTCTTCACTCATTAGTGTCACAAGTAATTGGTTTCTGCAGCTAGCATTTATTGAGCTGTCGCCATGCAGGATGACAAACCATCCTGCTTTGCCCGAAACTGAGGATTTTAGCACAGAATGTCCCATGTCCTAGGAAATCCTTCAGCCCTGGGAACATTGGGACACTTGTCATTCTGCAAGTGGCAGACGCTGTGGTGGGTCCACATCACACTCCCCCGATTTCTCAAGTAGTCACCCTATTGTCATCCTTGCTTTAAAAATGGGAAACTGAGCTGAGAGAGGGACCAGGCATGTTGCCCAAGGCCACACATGTGAAGGGATTGATTAGGGCTGACACCAGAATCTGAGAATCTTGAAAACCTTGTGCTGTGTGAAAGGAGCCATGCTCTATGACTCCATTTATATTAAAGTTAGAACTGGAGAATAAATGCAGTGACGGAACACTTATCCGTGGGCGTCTGAGACCAGGGTGGAGGGGTGGCTGCCAAGAGTAGGAGGGAGCTGTGGGGCAGTGGAGATGTTCTGTGGTACTGATTACATTGTCAAACCATTGAAAGTGCAGTTCATTTATCCCAAGTGCATTTAATTTTAAATCAGCAATTCTAAGATCTGAATTTTTGCCTCATACCTAAATAACCATTTTAAGATGTTGTGTTAACTACCCAAAAAATGATAATACTTTTATTTGGCTTAGGATCGCAGGCCACACATTGTATGAAAGGCTCACATTGTACAATGGTGTGTGGAGCACACAAGGCTGGCCAGGGCCATGTTCTTACACCAGAAAGGTAGTAACCATTAGCCATGCGGCAGGTGCTGCGCTCAGTGCTAAGGTGATGCTCTTCACTACCTGGAAAACTTGTTCCTGCTTTTTTGACTTACAAGAAACAGGAAGGGGACACACATTTCACCAGCGAGGTGGACCCACTGGTTGTGAGTGCTTGTGTCTCAGGGCCTGCTGTGGCCCCGGCTCCCTTAATCAATTCTGATATACACCAGGTCTCCTTTGAAGAGACATTTTGTGGGTCAGGTAGACTTATGTGCAGGGAAGAGTACGTATCAGTCATGCCATGCAAAGGGTTGGTCCTAACTGGCTTTTTATATTTCATTCTTTAAATTAATCATGCTGGGTTCTGACTTGTCGTGAGGTTAGCACCTGGGAGTCAGACTCCAACCGTGATCATTGCTTCAGAAGCAACCTTGATCAGTATCCTAACCAGCAACAGCCAGCAACAGAGTTTTGCCCTTGACAGTGTACAACCCTAAAATAGAAAGCATTTTCTTCTTTCTTTCTTTTTTTTTTTTCATTTAAAGATTAAGCTTGCCTTACATCTTAGGACTTCTGCTTGGGTTACTAATGGTGTTATTTTCCTCTTCATTCTTGCAAAAGTACTCGTGGCATGCTGGGACTCAAAGGATGTGGGACTGGAAGAGATTTGTTTTTTGACCCTCGTAGGACTTGATAGGAGAAGAAATCCCACAGACCCTGCTGGGCGATGACATTCTTGTCCTCACCACCAGGGCTGGGTGATCACAATCGTGCAGCTTCCAGGAGGTCTTGTTGCCTGTGCCCTCTTGGCCACTTGGAGCAGCAGCTCCCTGCCTTGTCCTGCACTCATCCTAGAACTTCCAAAGGGCTGCTGACACCTGTCCCTTTTATTCATTCCATTGACACTTATAGGTGCTCTCAATGCTATCAAGCCCTCATGAAAGAATACTTAGACATCATCTTTCCTCTAAGATGATCACAGCTCCCAGATGTCAGGCTCCATCCTTGGAAAAGTCACTTTTAAGAGGTGGTAGGGACATCAAATGGCACGAGGATTCTTAGGAATGTGCTGGTTAGTGAAAGGCACAGTAGCAAATGGTTCCACGGCACGGGGAGGTGGGACAGGAGTGGCTCCAGGGTGCCATAATCCACACAATTGTGCCAACCCCAGAGATCAATCCTGCTGCTAGTGTAACTCTGGATCTCTATGGCTTCAAGCTCCCATAGTGACCATCATCAAGCTCAGCAGTTACCAGTCAATCAAAATACCAAGCAGTTAACACTCACCAGACCCACATCTGATGAGTGACTTCCTCCCCTATGACTCCCAGCGGCAGTGAGAATGAAGCAGAGTGTTTTGTTCTGAGCCTCGAAACATGGAGTCCAAGCTCAGCTAGTCACATGGTAGGTCAAGAGACCATCCACACACACACCAATGCCCTGAGGAAGAGCAAACCTGGCCCACACCGTGGTCCGCATCATGAGGCAGAGGAAGTCTTACTAGTAGATCTGGCATCCAAGCCAGATAACAGTAGCCATAGGAGCAGGCATGGGCCATCTGCGTGTGGTCTGGGAATATTTTGGAGTTTGTGGAGTCATTTCCTTCTTCTTATAAATCAGATCAACAATGAAATTCTCTTACCAGAAGACATTTGCCTGACTCTGCTCTCCTGCCTGCCTCTCCTAGGTCGATAATGATACCATCAGCTATTCCAACTTCCTCAAAGCAGCCGTTTCAAATGGCATCATCAAAAGGAGAAAGGACCTCCACATTCATGTCATCTGCAAGATGCTCCAGAACACCTGGGTCAACACCATGTACATTGCTAATGACACCATTGAGATCCAAGAAGTCCAGTATGGCAGCTTCAATGTGAACATCTCCTTCTTTACGTCCCCCTCCTACTTATATCCTGTGACTCAGAGCCCGTACTATGTAGACCTGGATCAGAATTTGTATGTTCAGGCTGAAATTCTCCACTCTGATGCTTCCCTGGCCTTATTTGTGGACACTTGTGTGGCTTCGCCATACCCCAATGACTTCTCGTCTTTGACTTACGATCTCATCCGGAGAGGGTAAGTACTGCTTTTAGGGCATAGGTTTAAACCTTTGCCTGAGAATTCAAACCTAAGTAGCCCAAAGGCTCACAGAGTATAGGTTTTAGTTAACTGAAGTTCTTAGGAGTGGAAGCTTAGATAGACCCCTTTCTGGGTATAGTAATATCCTATGATTTTACTTTTGAGAACCTTTCTTGTTGTGTCCTGGACAACATCCCTGATTACAGAGGCAGGGTTTTCATGCATCATCTCCAGTTGACGTGTAGGAGGAATGCAATGACTCACCAGTGGTCACTCAATAAGTTGGCTATCAACTGTGATTAGACCTTAGGCGACCAAACTCTCTTCTTTGGTTAAAACTATTTGGGTATAATGGGAAAAGCATTGGTTTGGGAGCAGAACAAGGTCGAAACCCACGCTTCTTTGGGCCAGTTTCCTCACCTGTCAGTTGTGATCGTGATACCCACATCATAAGGCTTTCTCCTAGTACAAGAAAAAGCAGGTGATCCGCAGGATCACTGCATTGAAATCATCAAGAGATCTTTGTGACATCTGTGGGCCTGGAAAGTTCTCCAGTTCAGCTCAGGAGGTGCGGGGGTCAGGCCAATGCGCTTCATTGCTCCAGCTTCCCAGATGAGGCACTCTGCTGAGGTGGGTGACTGCTGTTTTCCCTGATGGGGTCCGGAGAAGACAGAGGAACAAGTTCAGTCCCTACTCTGTGTCTTCTGCTGGTAGTGGCACTGCACTGCTTGACTTGCAACATGGCCTTTAGTACCTTTGTAGCCACTGCTTCCTAAGAGAAATTATACTGACAAGGTAAGGATTGCTGCTAGGAATGAAAGGTGAGGGTTAAAGATCACACCTCCCCAACATAGTAAAGGTAGCATCTCTTTCTAGGCACAGTTGGAACACGTGTCAGTTCAGTAAACGGGGGGTAAGGCTCATCTTGTCCATAATCGATGAAGTTGGTTCAACCAGCAGCTTCCCCCGCAGCAGCAGAGATGGAGAGAAAGCTTAGTCAGATTCCCCTCTCTCCATATAGGAACAAGTCGGCTTTGGAGTGGGTACAGAATGACTGAAATGAATGCAAAAGAGGGAGCAATTTAATAGCCTGCCAAAAGATCCTTGTCTATTGGTGACAATCTGCCACCTATATGGCGATGCTATTTTACAGGAGGAGGGGTACTAACTGCATGTGGCTCAGAGAAATCCAGTGAGGGTACTACTTAGGGATGCTGGTCATGTACCAGAGCCTCCTGGCCTACTTCACAAATGCCCTACTTCTCAATGAGCCTCTGGGGTTTTTCTCTCTTGCCCTGGCCACTAAGGAGGTTGCTGTGGAAAAAAGAAAGAAAGAAATCTGAGTATTTCAGAGTAGCTGAGGTGAAGGTAGAGGCAGGAAGTAAGCTTTGGAAGACAGAGGAGGTGAGCAGACTCAGGACAAATTTCTGGGGCAACAAGGCTGTCCTGGGACTGCAGCCATTCATCCATGAGACACCCTTCTCCAGGGTCTCCAGGCCAGCTTACCTTGCTCTTCTCTTGCCCAGTCATTCAAAGTCCTACCATTATACATACACACTGTTTATCAGGGGGAGATGCATCCGCATTCATACCCAGTAAAATTCCTTAAGCAGATTCGAAGTTACTTTCCCTCCACCACAGCTGGGATGAGGGAATGAGAAAGGAATTCCACCACGGGCATGAAGAGATACTTGGATACTGGAGCAGGGGTTCTGCATGGCCCTTAGGCCAGTGTGCAAAGTACAGTGGCACAGGGCTCAGGAAAGGTCCAGTGGCTCAGGGGAGAGGGACCCTGGGAGAAGGAGAGCCAGGCAGGCCTGGAAGCACTCAAATCGCACAACATAGAGCCAAACATCACCTCACCTGCCTCTGCAAGAAGGAAAGGAGAAGAAGGTCTCTTCTTTCCTCCCCTGTATTTGGCCTGTTCCTGGGCTGCAAACTTGAACCAATACTTCCCTGACTCTCCTGGCTTTACTTGGGGCCAGGGAGCACACGCTCTTACTTGAGCCCTAACCCTCTGTGCTGTACGAGGCCCGCTTGTCTGCCTGGAAACTCCAGGGGGACTTGCTACTAGAAGCTGCTGGTAATGCATGCACCAGCCTGCCCGGATCCGTCTGCATCCCTGGAAGTGAGTGTGTGCTCTGCATGGGCTTCAGAAAGGAAGTGAGGTGGCTCAGGAGGCAGGGGCAGCCAGGAAGGGCTGTGGAGTTCCATGCCTGGTACAAACGAATCATGACAAATCCAGTGCCTTGGCGAGAACTAACGAATAGGTTTTGTTTGTTTTTTTTTAATTCCAGGTGTGTAAGGGATGAAACCTTTCGAATCTACTCCCAGCCATCTCCCCACATTGTCAGAATGAAATTCAAATCCTTCCACTTCCTGAACCGCTTCCCCTCGGTGTACCTGCAGTGTAAACTGGTGGTATGCAGAGCGTACGACTACTCTTCCCGGTGCTACAGAGGCTGTGTGGTGAGATCCAAGAGAGATGTGGGCTCCTACCAGGAAAAAGTGGATGTCATCCTGGGACCCATCCAGCAGCAGGTTCCCCACAAAGAGAGGAGGAGCCTGGGTAGGTCACCCTCGGATGACCCCACTGCTCACTAAGGCCCAGGCCCATAACAGTCATGGAATTAGGATGCTTCTGTTGGTGTTATGTTACAGCCCAAAGTGAATACCTACTATGTGCCAGGTGCTCTGTGCTATGCCTGGGCACAGAGTTCAGAAGGCATATAGACCTGATGCTTTATCCTCTGGGCTCTGAGCTCCCAGAATCCATGCTTCTCATGCATAAAATGAACATGCTAACACTTACCTTTACGACTGTTGAAAGGGTTAAATAAAATAATGTTAATTAAACTGCCTTGACCCCTGAGTAGTGTATGTCATTGGGTACTTTATGAACAGTAGCTTTCATTATTTCTGGCATTGTCACCCAAATTAACAACACTAACGATACTATTATTCCTCATTAGGATAATACCAAGTGATAGCACCAGGCATAGGGACATCAGGGTCAGGCTGGCCATGGCAATGCGCGCGCGTGTGTGTGTGTGTGTGTGTGTGTGTGTGTGTGTGTGTGTATGAGGAACTATTCCTAGGACTCTCAGGGTGATTTGCAGGATTCCTGGCCCAGTCATGGGGACGGGGATGGGCTAGCAGTAGTGATCACAAGCCCTCCCTTTGCTCAGGGCATCACCCTCAGGCACTAACAGCTCCCTTCCCTCATGCCCAGTATTAGGCATGTTCCCCTGGCCAGCTGATTTCCAGTTCTTTCCTTACTTATTAATTCAGTGAATATTTATCAAATACCCAGTGTGTGCCAGGAAGCGAATAAATAGACATCAATCAAATTCCTGTCCTTGAGGTGTTCACACTCCAGTTGGACAAGGTACAATTAGATTAGACCTAGTGCATGCTGCCTTCTGTAGCATCAGAGCTATGGAGAAAAGGACAGAGGACAGGGGAAAGGGGAACTAATGTTACCTTCTCTCCTCACCCTTTATTCCGAGATCCACTTCAGCAGCTCTGGTCTTGGCCAATTTCTTGCGTGGGAGTCTTGTAATCATTTCCCAGCCGATCTAAAATGCCCAGTTCTCTCTCCTTCTGTCTATGGGAACCTCAGGCCAGAACTGTTCTCCTGAAGTCCAGCTCTGCGCTACTGCTCAAAAACCTTTCCTTGATTCCCTGGCCGACAAGACAAGGTGAAACAAAACTCCCACACACAACACTCGGCTGCCCTTTGGGGAATGACGTCAGTTTCCCCTTTGTTACCCTCCCATTTCTTTGGTTCCCACCAAACAGTTCTTCTAATGGGGACAGCAGCCCTTACTTGTCTTCCTGCTCCTTCTCCTCTGGGTTCTGTCCTGGTCCCAACTTGTTTCTTGGTATCCTCTTCTCCCAGACCTGGCAGTGGCAGACGTGGAGAAGCCAGGAATCTCACAGGGGAGCTCTCACAGCACTGCCATTGCTGCAGGGGTCTTCCCGGCCTTGGTCCTGGCTGTGGCAGCCTTCACAGTGGGGAGGACACGCAGCACCAGCGGCTGTCCCCTGAGCAGTAGGGTGGGAAGCCAGGAGAATGTGCTCAGACACCAGCCCTGTGTGTACAGGCACCCTGAGGTGGAGGAAGGAATGGGGCACAGAACCGGACACCCAGGAGCACCCTGGTTTAGTTCCTCTTGGCACAAGTGTGTGATGAGGTGAGCTGAGGTGGCAGGAAGAGAGGTAGGGGCCAGGCTTTTCACAGACTCCAGGCTGGGAGAGAAAGTCATAGGTCAGTGGCGCCAATGTCTATAATTCCACATGCAGCCCTGAGCGAAACACCCATAGGAGCAGAACTTTCTCCAGACAAACTTTTTCTGATCTTTTATAAATCAGCTTCCTAGTCAGTAGTATGCATCTCAGCCTTTCCTTTATAACAGGAAAAACCAAATAATATTTTTCAATGTAAGTGTCTCACTTGGTCAGTGATTCCAGAGGTTTACCTATGAACTGGAGCCTCTCAAATGAGGCAGACAGGGTGACATGTCAGCTGGAATATTAAGAGGTGAGAGGCTCTGATTTTGACTTCCAGAACCCCTTAGGGAGTGTCCTTCTGGTATCCTGGGAGTGAGAAATCTTCATCTTCTGGATGTGCCCCTGAGCCTTTCCAGGGGCACAGACCTAGGGATTGTGGGGCTATTTCATCAATTCTCATTTTCCCGTCCATAATTGCCCACATTCACCCTCGCCTTCCAAGCTGGGTGGTCAAGGAAAGGTGGGAGGCTCATCCCACAGGGACAGGCCGGCCCTGAAAAGCAATAGCACTGCCGTGAAATGCAGGCACCAGCATTGCAGCTCTGAGAAATGAGTGTATTTCTCATAGCAACGCAGTGAATCTCAGGGCCAGCTATGAGCAGATGTGGACTTTCTCAGAGCCCAGGGAGCCTGTGTTAGGCTACACCCTCAGAGGAAGGACAGACATGCAGATGCCATGTCCCATAGGTGAGGTGAGCCGCAACCCTCCTGCCTTCCAGGGTCTTGCAAGAAGCAGCATCACTTCCGATCATCCTTCTCCTGTCATCCCATTTACGGACGCTAGAGGGCACTGTAGTTTAATATTAGCACCGTTTTGTTTTTGGGACTTCACCTGGTTTCTTTGGCTGCCAATAGCTGACCAGTCAGTACAAGTAGTTTTGCCATGTGTTTGTTTGTTTGCATCTGGGCCACTGCTACCTTTCTTCTGCTTTAAGGAAACAGAATCTGATTCTTTTCTCTGAAAATAAATTAATAAGTAGTTTTCCCTTCTGCCCTAGTTCCTACCATATGTCAAAGGTGGCCTCCCAGCAGCCCCTATAGATGCTGTCCCCTCCTGCCTGTCTCTGGTTCAAGGACACCTGATGTGGTCAGCTTGGGGTTTTGCTCAGAGGGAGACCCACATCCTGAAAGTTTTGATGGCATCTGGTGGCTTCCAGAATGTGCTGCTCAGGGACAGCTTCACCAGAAGCTGTCATTTGTCCAGGCCAAGACGAATTTGACTTCAGAGTCTCCTCCCAGTGGGCTGTATTGGTCTGGACACATAGTATGGGTTGTGTGTGTGCTTGGAGAGGAGGCTCAGGTATGTGCTGATGGGGAGAGAAAATCATATTAGGGAAGCCACAGACAGGGAGTGCTATGTGTTCAGAAATTTTGCAGGTGACTTGTTAAGCACTCATGGCAAAAAATTGAATGAATTACATTAAGAACAAAGATAGTAAATCCTCAAAATTCATCACTTTCTAATCACTTGACTCCATTTTACTGTGATCTCTGCCCCCGGTTCTTTATGTATAGCATATCTGTGTGGTGGAAATACTACTACTGCTGAATGACCACCCAGCTCTTCCCAACTCTCCATGCAGTGGGACGGTCTTGCTAGCATAAAATGGCGATGAGAAAGTATTTACATCACGGAAATCATGCTGCAAATCAGGGATTCCCCCTTTTCAGACATTTTTAGTCAATATTTCCCAATACACATGGCCCATAGTTCACTCACAAGAGATCCATACACTGGGAGAGCTTGGCAAAACCTTCAGCTGTTTGCCACTAAGTTAAAATTTCCTTTACTAGCATTACATCTTATGGAAAATACCTATGTCTTAGTAGATCTGGAATCTAAATTTACCTTGTCCAGAAGATGCCACGTAACTCCCCAGGATCTAAGGGAAGTCCAGGTAGGCCACATTTGTGGGCTCCTGAGGAGGGATAAGATGTCCAGGTATGGGTTAGGGGCAAGTCAAGGATAGAAAGCAGAAGGTGGGGCTGTGTCATGAAAGACTTTGAGACCTCGATCTCCCTTCATCTGAGCCCAGCCCCAAATTCCCTCTCTTTCTCCTCCAAGCCACACAGAACTCCTCAGCTTCACCTTTGGATCACTGGCGATGTTACCTCCAGATAACAGTTCCCTTTCTCTTGGAGTACTGTATGTGTGAGTGGCCAGGAGTCTGTACTGTCTGTCCATGTTCTGAAATGAGGACCAGCATCCCGGCCAGATCAGAGGCAGCTATGAGGAAGAGAACCTTCCACAGTTGAAGCTGCAAGAGTAAGTGATGGGCCATGAAGAGCAAGGCCACCATGTGGAGTTATGACCGGTGGCATTAAGCTCTAAGACTCACAGAGTTAGCAGTGAGCAGCTTACAGGGGCTAAAATTTTCAAACTTTGCTCCATCTCCATTTATAGCCTACTGGGGAGCTCCTTGAGGTCAAAGTAGCACTGAGCATAGGTAGGTATCCAGGCAGGCGTTCCTGTGATCTAATGCAGTCAGTGTCTCTCCTTAATCAACCTGCGTCCTCCCCTTGCACCCAGTGTGGTTTTCTCTACATAAGGGTTATGGTGGCAAATGTTGGAGAACTGAGGGTTGGCCTGAAGTGTTGATGGATGGTACCAAGCTCAGACTCTTCCTGCTTATGAGGGCCGGGAGCTTGAAATATCAGGAGCTCACAAGGAGCACAGTATCAGACACCTCTCAGGACAGCTCTTGACATGGATTTTCCTCCCAAAATGGATGCTTCTGCATGAGGTTAGGAGAGAGCAGTCAGTGGGAGGGATCAGGAAGCTGCTGGAAGTCTGGACCTGTAAGATCACAGTGAAAAGCTCTCCTGTGGGGTTTGGCAGGGGATCTGGTTGACTCCTGTTGCAAGGGAAGAGCCATCTGGTCATAAAATCTATATCCCTCCCCACTGCTTTGACAATGGACTTTCATTTTCATTTATAGTCCTTCAATGGCTTTGCTAGTAGGACCAACTTGAGCCTATTTATCTTGGACTTTCCAAGTTTAGCACTGAAAGTTCCGTGTTCTGGATCCCCTCTGACAAATCAGAATGGCCGGTCACCCTGGACTCAGGACCAAGGCTGCAGGGCAGAAGTCCAGGCTGCACCAAAGGCAGCAGACTGGAGGGAGCCTAAGGCCAGACACTTGGCCAAATGTGTGACACTCAAAGGTACCTGGGACCTTCCTTGATCACCCATAGAGAGAATTTTTCAAGACTATTTCTTGACTTGGGTAGGTGTCAGGGTCATTTTATTGATTTTGGTTCCTAGAGATAGACCCAGATGGATGAGAAGCTCTCAAGTTTTATTCAGGGTTGGAGAGAGATCATTAGTTTCATAAGCATATGGCCGTGTGTGTGTGTGTGTGTGTGTGTGTGCACATGCATACTGGTGCATTAGTTTGCCAGGGCTGCCACAGACTAAGTGGCTTAAACAACAAAACTTATATTACAATTCTGAAGGCTAGAATTTCAACATCAAGGTGCAGACAGGGTTGATTTCTTTCGGTTTACATATGACTGCTTTCTTCCTATGTCCTAACATGGTCTTTCTTCTGCGTATGCCAGTGTCCTAATCCCTGTTCTTGTAAAGACACGAGTCATTGGATTTGGGGACACTCTCATGCCTCATTTAATCTTAATTGTCTCCTTTTTTGTGGCACATGGGATTGAACCCAGGACCTTTGCACTGAGCTACATTCATAGCCCTTATTTTTATTTTGAGATGGGGGTTTGCTAAGTCACTAAATCCTGCAGGTTCAGCTCTAACTTGTGATCCTCCTGCCCCACCTTGTAGAGTTCTGGGCTTATAGGCACTCACCACTGCACCTGACTCTTAATTATCTTCTTAAAGATTCTATGTTCAAATATAATCATAATCTGAGGCATGTGGAGTAGGGCTTCAGCATATTGATCTTGCATGGCATGGGGCACAATGCTGCTCCTAACTGGAAATGTCTTCAAGCGTTGCTTGCTGCACTGAGTTAAGGATGTGCATGGTTTATTCTACACAGTGTGGGCAGTCATGACAACCTTTGCCCTGCCAGAGAAATGGAAAAGGGAATGTCTTAGGGGCTGAGGGATGCCTGGTAGGTTGAGTTTCCCAAGACTTTGAACTTAAGGGAATTCTGTTCCAGGAAAAGATCCTGGATGCGCAGGTTCTGGTCTAAGTCCTTTGTGAAGGGAAGTCTTCCTCAAAGAGAAGAGAAGGAGTTTGGAGTTGTCTTCTCATTTCAGGAGGGCTGAAGGCCACCACTGGGCTGCATCAGCAAGGCTGGGGGCAGCAAGACCAACCTCAGAGAGTTTAGATGATCAGGCCTGGGTCTTGCTTTAGAATTTTTCTCACAGTTGTAAATAGTTTGCAAATACATGCCTGCTTCTTCTGGTAGAATGGAGGAGAAAATTAAAACCATCCCTGGAGATAAAGGCTGATGAACTGAAAGTGTTTCAGATTGAGTAAAATATAAAAATGAATGCAAAGAAATAAAAAAGACTTAGCTGTATTTTAAAGTAATTTTCAAATTTTAGCCTTACTTCTTTTTGTCAGCCTAGTGTGCTTGGGCATTTTTCAGTCTTCCTCACACTGCTGTGATGACTCCCTAGTCCTTCTAGACACTTTGCTTGATGTCTGATGCAATTTCCAGCACTTAACACTAAGAAATAACAGATGACATAGGAAAAGAGGAAACCAAAATCTCAGGTGCAAACAGAAGAGCAAGGTTTCCAAGGTCCAGAAATGTTGTTGAAACCCAGAGTGGTGAGCTCCCCGCCGACAGTGCCAGCTCGGTGTTCCCACAGGGCTGGGAAGCTCACTAGTCAGGCAGTGAAGGGGACGATCTACCCAATTAGCCAAGAGAGGCTGATAAAATCTCCCCAGACTCAGATCCACACAGCCCAGCTGTTCATCTCTGGCCATATCTCTCTCCACCATCACAGCAGCACAGTTCCATTGGCTCTGGACTATGGGCCTGGGAAGGAGCCAAGTGAAGTCTCCTGTGAAACCACTGAGCCCAGAAGAGGAGTGTGCAGTGGAAGGCGGGGAAGAGCCAGAGCAGAGGAAGGAGGGAGAGACAAAAGGAAGTTCATAGTAAAATATGGGCTCCCACTCAAAATGGGCTGTTAAATCAAAATTACACAGTGTTTGGTGAATAAATGCTAAGGATTATAGCCAGTGAAAGCAATAATCAGATAAAAATTCACTCTGGATTTGTTTTGCAATTTTTCTATTGAGGCACAATTCAAATAGCATAAAATCAACCACTTTAAACTGTGGAATCCCATGGAATTTAGTGCCTTTCTATGTATTATGCATTCCCCTTCTCTTTCTAGTTTCACAAGTATTTTAAAATATGCCTAAATAAAACCCCATACGCAGTCAGCGCTCATCCTCACTGTCTTCCTCCAGACCCTGGAAACCACCAATCTGCTTTCTAGGCCAATGAAGATACCTGTTCACTCCAGATTAACTTTAAGAAGCATTCCTGCAAAGAATTTAACAGGAAGGTTAGAGATGACCAAAGGTATCATTAAAGGTATAACTTTAATTTTTAAAAATTATTTTGAAATAATTTCAACTAAATGTTGAAGGAAGAGTACCAAGAACACCCATACACAAGTAATCACGTGTTCAAGACATCCCTCCTGTTGTCTGGATACAAAGTACTTGACTTCTTTTTGCTTCGTGTAAATGTCAGTAAAAGCAGCAAGTATCACTTATGATGCACCCTGAAATGTTGACTGCCTTATTTTCATCTGTCCAATGGGTCTGCCACTCTTAATCTCAGTCTCCTACAAAGTCTCAGGACAAAACATTTTGCACAGCATAAAACACATGGGAGCACGTGGTCTTGAGTCAACTGCCAATGGAGTTTCTGTTCCAAACTGAGATTTCCTGAGCTTGGTTTATCACCCACCTTTTCATCACCATCTTCTGATCTTCAGAGCTCTGACCTGAATCTCCCATCAAGCTCAGTTCACAACATTTAGGGCTTTTCTAGTCTGCATTCTCAAACCTTTCCAAGCTCCTCCTGAAAACTGGATCCAAAGACTTCTAAAGCACAATTAGGATAGTCACAGCAACGATTTCACTTTTGGTATCAAAATTTGTCTTAGTCACTTTCTCATCACTAGGACACACAATACCCAATACCCATCTTGATTTAAATCATAACGCCACCTAAGGCCCGAAGAGCCACCCAGCTTAGCCCTGCCTGAATTGCTCACCCACAGAATTAGAATCTCAGTTACTGTTTTGAGCCACTAAAATTGGGGATTAAAAAAAAACAGTAAGAATAGGTAACTGATAAAGGTCCCAGAGGAAAAAAGAAGATGTAGAGGACTGTTCTCCGTTCTACTAGGTGAGATCAGGAAGGCCTGGGCTGTTAGTGAGGTTGAGATCCGACAGTTATGAGTTCCCAGGAACCAGGAAGCCTCAGCAACTGGGTCTTACTTTGAGGACACTAGGCAACAGGGCAGGGGAAGCCAAAGTATGCAAAGAGAGAGGTGGGGAGGAGTCCAGGGCCCAAGGAACAGAAGAAATAAGGATGAGGAAACGTGGGTACCCTGGAGGAACAAATAAAACTTTAATAGTTATGAGGATCAGTTTTTCCCATGCATTCCTTGCAGGAATTCCCCACTTGCAGGTGGTGGGTATTGATCATATCACCGGAGTAGGTTTCCCGAGATATAAAATCCTGGTTCATGAGCATGAGATCACCAGGGAATTCAGCCACGGAAAGGAGATTTCGGTTTGTTAGGCCTGTGATGGACCTTTCCGGTGTCTTTATGGGAAAGAATGGTTTACTATCATTTGGTTGGCATGGAAAGTGTTTTTTTGATTCTTTTGACTTGAAAACAACATTCATTTGTATTTCTTGTCTTCTTGTGACTTTGTTCTCTTCCTCTTTTTTCTCCTCCTGCTTGAGATTGTCACAGAAATCACTATCAGAATGGTCCCCGTCTTTTCTCACCTTCCGTTTTCCTGTTGGACCCAGAAACACTGACCTCCCAGGTCTTTCAGCATTGGAGGAAATCTGCATACTTCCCAGGGCTCGAGCCAGATGCATCCTTTCTACATGCTTGCTGATGTTGATCTTCTCCCGCTGGGGCATTTTGAACTTCTCGGCAGGCATGATTACCCGTGCGGTCCATAATTTTTTTACAGGTTCACACACAGCACAAGGAGAGGAGGGCTGGTTTTTATAGTCCATTGCCTGTTTGTAGTCTGGAGACAGCAACCGTAGCTCTCGCAGCGTTTTCTGTTCTTCCTCTTGTTTAGAAGCCAAAAACCTTCTTGCAGCTATAGTATGAACACCTCCTAGACGCTGATGGCAAGAGGGAGGTTGTTAAAATCTTCGTGCACAGAGGAAGAAGGAATTAGCTAGCGCTTGGTTCTTCCTTCAATGATGAGGACAACATGAAACAGGGTGGACCTTCCTGGTCAGACAAGCCTGTGTTGAAGTCCTAACACTCCACTTAGGAACTGTGAATTTGCAAGAATGTTGTTGACTTTACAGGGCCATTTGAAGCCTCAGTGAGATAATGTCTATGAAAGAGATGAGTGTAAGATCAGGGCTCAAAAGAGGCCATTTCCATCATTTGTAATTATATAGGGTCACAATTCTCATGGGTACTTTTAAATAAGAGAGTACTGCATTTTGCTGTGCAAGTGGAATCCACCAGCAGACCCAGCCAACCTGAATCCTTTGTTGGGGAGACTGCTTTACTGTCACTGGGTTTGGAATCTAGGGCCCTGGTGGGCATCAGAGAGGCCTCTCTAAGTGTGAACTCCAGACACTTACCAGGATCTCTTTTTCCAAGGGGGAGTATTTTCCTAGGGCAATGCGTGGGTCTGATCTGTGGAAATTGGTCCATATCCTGAAAGGGAGAGGTAGGTGGATTAGAACTCTGGAGAGGGTCTTTCTAGTTGTCCCACTCAAAGTAGGAAACATGAGAGCATAGCTTTCCAGTAAGCAGGCTGAAGCCACCTGTTGCATGGGTTAGAAGCACCAATCACACTCACCCCAGTGGTAATGCAGGACATAGGTCCTCTTGGCAACATGAGGAGGCTTGATGTAAGTAGGAACAGTTGGTGTCAAGGATTCTGCCCAACTTTCCGTTCTTGTTTGACTTGCCCTCTTCAGTGTCCCTTTCTTTATCCCTCTGTGTTCTAACCCTTGGACAACCATTTTCCCATCCTCTGATCATGCTGTGGCCACAGGCTACGATGGGAGATGTTAGTGCTTGGAGTTTGTTTCTAGGACAGCTTAATGGGAACCCAAGGGACAGTCACAGCATTCACTGCATCACAACTGGCTCACCTGAGGGCTATTGTGAAGTCTGCAGGTAAGGCATTAAGTGACTCAGGGAGGGGAAGTAGACACACATATTGTCAGATCGGCAAGTTAGAGTCCAGGGAGAAAGGGCAGAGAGTGCATCTGGAAGTTCATCTGACTTCTCAGGTCATATGGGATGAAGAAAAAGACTTTGTGGTTACCCAAAGACCCCCCCACACACCATTTTGTGCCTCTCTAGCCGTTTATGCTTCATGCCTGATCAGTGCTGCTCTGGGAACAACCATCTAAACAACTGCTCATGGTCCCCTTCATCTGGAATACCTCTCTGCCCCTTGGCAACTTGTTTGTCTTTCAGGCCCAGCTTGATTGCTACCCATTCTGAAGACCTTGCTGAACAAAACACCCTTGTCCATGTTCTCGTGGGACTTCCTGTACTGTGCTATGTTGCTTCGCCACATGTTGATTTGATTGTCCAATGAGCCTGTCTCTCCCTCTACTGAAGGCAGGTGCTGATGGCATCTCATTCCTTGTCATGTATTTGCTTAGCATAGGGCCTGGTATAGAGCAGATGTTCAGTTTGCTGGTTCAATAACAATTGTCCTGGGTTCCTGGTCAAAGTTAAGGTCGGGAATATTGCTGGGTGGGAACGGATATTACCACAACCCCTGTCGCAGATGATTTCACAATGTATATCGTAAATTACACTCACCCTTTGACCAAATTGCAGCTGCAAAGTTAAATATATACAAGGTTAGAGAATGCAGCCTTATTTGGGGTAATAAGCGTAATGATAAATTCACATGTCAGTTGGTGGAGGACTGGCCGGACTGCCTATGCCAGCTATATGATGGAACATCACATAGATACTCAAGACTACAGGGATGAGAAAGATCAAGAAAGGCAGATCTGTTTATATGGAACTATGTTCAAGAAGTAATGTGAAGTGCAAAAAGTGAGGTGAAAATGTACATAAATTGCAGGCTACCTTTTCATGCTAGGGAAGAAAAAATAAGCATGTATATTTATATTTGCATAAAGTCTAAGATAATACATAAAAACCAATTTAAAAAATTACACGAGGGACATGCTACAGAAGAGGAAGTGGTAAAAATGAGCCTTTTCACTGTATATATGATTATATTGTCTTGGATGTAGAACATGGTGAATATGTTACATGTTTGAAAAAGATAAATTAACAAAGCAAAGACATAGTTCAGGGGAGAAGATTGCCATGTTGTCTCTGATAAATAATGGTCCTAACATTTATCTGTGACTCTACCAGAAGCCCGTGATTTGTAGAAATGTTTAAATTTTTTGTGCAGCACTCAGACCCATGTCACCACCTGAAATATAGAAGGGCTCCTCCTTCTAGGAGGCAAATGCAGTTACCTGGCCCACTGTGAATCTGGAAATCAGCAAGAACCTCTGACAAGTACGGAAATGCCTCTTATACTGCAGGCTGATTTTCCCTTTTGTTCCACTGGTAACTGCCAACTCAGAGGAGCTTTGAATGGCCACTCGCACCTGGAGTATTGTAGGCACTCAACAAATATTTGTGGAACAGCTGCTGCCTCAGCGAACAGTACATTAAGGAATGTTATGTTATGTTCCCATCAAATCTTTGAAAAAATATCCAGTAATACACTCAGGACATAATGTGATGTAGAATATGTAGTATGTGATCTTCATGCTGTAAATATGCCAATATGTAAGAAGGAAAAATGTAGGAACATCCGTGTCTACTTCAGCCTGTGGACATGCCAGGCTAGTGGTATACCAGTAGTCTGATCAACTCCAGCTGTCTATACGGAGGAGTCAGGGCTCCATTACAATGGGTACAGGCTGGTAGCCATGGCAGTTTCTCAATCTGATCGTTAAAATGCCATGTATTTAAATGTCACAGTATAACCCATAAATAGGTACAATGACTGTATGTCAGCTAAAAATAAGACGTATCTTTGAAAGAGAGAAAAACGGGGCTAGGGATTTAGCTCAGTGGTTCCAGTGCGTGCCTTGCAAGTGCAAGGACCTGAGTTTGATCCCCGGTACAAAATAAAGAAAAAATAAATAAATAAGTAAAGAACTGAAAGAGAGAAAAGTGTGACATGGTTAGGTCTAGGTCTGCCAGACATCAGGGGAAAGGAGGGTGAGAAAGGGCAGGGCTGGGAGGGGTGTCACCATAGCAACAGGTCTCCACACCGAGGGAAAATCAATTTTTCTCACACCCAGTTCCACAGACTTGCGCTTTTATCTCACTTGCTTGTCTCATTGTCTGTCTCTTTTTCCATTCCCAGGCTCTTTGCTTTTGTTTTATTTAAAGATCTCTCCCCCAATTATTTTCACAGTATAAGTTTTATTTTTGATGTTTATCTAGTTTTGTCTTGATTTGGTTCATAGCTACCAACTTCATCTGCTGTTTCATCTGAAACTTCATTTTCACATTTTCCTCTTAAACTTTTTCATTTTAATCTTGTATCTTGTGTTGTCATTTTTTTTTTACTTACAACAATTATCTTTTACCTACGTTTTATCTACTTATCATACAGCATTTTAAGACTTTTACCTATTGTATCAGTCAGAGTTCTCCAGGCGAAAAGAAAATGGTAAGAGAGATTTATTTTAGGAATTGTTTCATGTGATTATGGGGGCAGATGAATCTGAAATCTGCAGGATGGGCCAGCAGGCCAGAGACCTGAGGAGAAGCCAGCATCACAGTTCAAGTCCAAAAGCCATCTGTTGGCAGAATATCCTCCTGGTCAGGGGAGGTAAATCTTTTGTACTATTCAGACCTTCAAATGATTGGATGAGGCCCACCCAGACTATAGAGGTCAATCTCCTTTACTCAAAGCCTGATTTCAATGTTAAATTTAGCAAAACACACTCACAGAAACTTCCAGAATAACAAACAGGTCAGGCCAAAAATCGAGGCACCATGATCCAGCCAAGTTGATACATAAAATTAGTCACATTTACTTACATTTATTAGGTTTTTTCAGGATTAGTGGAAATATTTTTTTATAATTTTTAAAAATCAGGCTATTAGATTTGATATATAATTTTACCCAAGTTTTGAAATATGCATTCATAAACTCATTTGGTATGTATTCTTTGATGTCTGCTTTAAAAAAATGTTATGAGGGCTGGGGATTTAGCTCAGTGGCACCATGCCTGCCTTGCAAATGCAAAGCCCTGAGTTAGAGTCCTCCCCGCACTGGAAAAAAAATGTTTTGAATGTGCTATTATTGAAACATTTGTCATCAGTTCTCTCACTTTCATTGTGGCTTAGCATGATTGTGCTATAATTCTTCAGTCAGTCTTCTGTTGCTTTGAAAGAAAAGTTTCTAATTTGGGGAGCATTCTTGCACATGTCTCTTTGGTTGTATGTGGGCCTTTTGATTGGGTGTATATCCAGGGGTGGAATGCTGGATCAAGGTACCTGTAGCTTCAGTTTACTGGAAAATCATCACCTCTATTCCACAGCGTCTCTACTAATGCACAGTCTTAAAATTCACATTGATTCTCATTTTGTAAACCCAGGTGGCTATGTTGTGGCACTCACGTGGCTTTAGTATGCATTTTTCTGGTTATAAATGAGGTTGAACGTTTTTAAGTAGCCACTGAGATTATTCTTTGTTAAATGCCCATTTAAATTCGTTGTCTATTAACTTTCTGCTTCTGTTTGATATGTGGGACTTCTTTATATATTCATTAGCTAAATACATTGCAAATATTTGATTCTATTCTGGGACTCGCCTCTCTGTTTTCTTAAAACTGTCTCTGGGTGAATGAAAGTTCTGACTGTATGCCAGTGGCACTGGATTTGTCAGTCTTTCCTTCTATGGTTAGTTCTTTCCATGCCTTGTCTAAGAAATTGGCTCTTACCTAGAGTAGGAATGATATGCTCTCATATTTATACCTGTATAATTAACTCTTACAATAAATTAAACACTATACTAATAATATATGTAAATATTATTAAGTTTATTTTTTAAATCTTGTTTCCTTTAAGTATATTTTCCAACTTGTTTTTATAATGGTTGTGAAACGTGCGTATATGTGTGCGAGTGAGCACCGAATCCAAATGTTGGGCGCTTCGCGCTCTACCCCACGGCTGTTTCTGAAGCCACCTCCTGGGCTCCGGCTCCCCCTGGTGGATTAAGGAACCACATCCAAGGGAGATTCCTCATAGACTAACGGGAGTTGGTGATGGTTAGTTAGTACCTCGGATTTGGGGCCGAAGGAAAGCAAAGCCTCTGAGGCGAGGGCAAAAGATAAAATCTGATAGGACAATAAACGAAGAGACAGCCCAGCTGGACTAAAACGCAGAGTTTGGAGGGGAGGGGAGGGGCAACCGTCCACATCTGGATCCCGGTTCCCACCTGCGGAAGCGGGGCGAGGGACAGCGCGAGGCGGTCGCTCAGAGACGCTGGATGATTCAGTAAACCCGCAGTCACGCTGTCCGCCCCACCTGGCCGTGCGAGGTCAGAGACTCCAGCCCCGGACTCAAAGAAACTGAAAACAAAACGGGTGAGTTTTCATTGCCATGCGCTATTGCGCCTGGTCCCAGGACCTGCGTGCAGAGAGACACCTGGGCAGAGAGAGACGGTTCCCCCAACACACACAGTTTTAATAATTGTCCAATAACGACAATATTAATAACAGCAATAAGGAATAATAACAAAACAAACCGCCCATTTCTCCTCAGGCAACCAGAGCGCTGTTTGTGGATCAGCGCCCTACTCACGACTGTCTGCCTCCCCCAGACAGAGAGCACGCCTAGCAATGCCTAGTGGAGAAGGGGAGAAGGAGAGAAGGTCGGTTCTGCTCCAGAATCAGAAGACAACGCAGGGAGCAGCGAGCGAGCAGACCGTGGTAGCAGCACTCGGGAGGAGGATCACTGTGAGTTCGAGACCAGCCTGGGCTACATAGTGAGTTCAAGGCCAGCCTGAACTACACAGCGA